CTGTCTGCGAGCTGCTCGCTCTGCGGGCCCTCGGGGCTGGGCGCTCGCTCTCGCGGAGCTGCCGCTGCCTGTGAGGGGTCCGGGCAGCGTCGGGGAGCCTCGCCTCTCGGAGAGCACAGGCCTGCCAATCGCCTGTTCGGCACGGCTGGCGCCGTCTCACTCTTCCGCCCTGCCTTACGGGCTGGCGACAGTTTAACTGCAGAGCCGCTGAAGGGTCCCTTTGCAGAAGCGTGGGTGTCGGAGTCTCCCTGCCGTCACCTCCCAAGTGCTTGATGGTCGGGCTGCCTTGAGGAGGCGGTGGCTCCCGGCTCGAGATGTGGTCGCCCGGCCAGTGCCCTGACAGATGTTACCACCTCTTCCTGCGAGTCAGGGCAGCAGAGAGGGTTGGGGCCAGTTACCGGGAGTAGAGGCTGTGGCGGGTCAGTTACTGGCCGGCCTGGGTTCCTGGCCCGTAAGTGTTGCCTGGTCTGCAGGCTCCCCTGCCCCGCCAGCTCGCTTGCTGTCCTGGTGCTCGGGGCGTCTGGGAAGGAAGGGCTGTTGGGGGTCACAGTGTGGGAGGGGAGCTGGACCTCACGCCACCTTCAGCGTGTGTCAGGTTTGGCTCATGAAGGGCTGCTGCCCGTCAGTCTTTCCCCCTTAAGCCAGCCAGTTGGCTACCTTTCTCCCTCTGCCCTGCTCCAAAGCACAGTACTTCCAGATTCTTAAACTCCATGTGGGTTGGCAGCCCAGTGTTCTTGTGGGGTGGTCCCTCTGGCTCTAGAAGTTTCCTCAGAGGGTCTGACTGGGGGAGCACACAGCATCCTGACAGCTGCCCAGGGCCTCCCTGGGTGGTTCGCAGGGGGCTCCTCTGCACCGGCTGTTAAACTGTGGGCGAGCAGGAGGCCGGAGAGAGGCTGCTTGGCCTTCAGGGGCGCCTCCCTCAGTGAGGACCCTGTCCTCGGACTCTGAAGGGGGAGGCAGCCCAAGCCGAGGACCGTGAGCGGGTGCCAGCCTTGTCTCTGGTCCCCGACATCTTCCCAGGGGTGTCGCAGCCGCTGGACGAGGCCCCGGGACCCCTGAGCTGCTGTGTGGAGCCCTCGCTGCTCCCCTCTGCGGGCTCCCGCATGAGCCTCATACACTTGTTTCTTCTGCATCCCTGGGTTGCTTTTGAGATTTGCACGTGCAATTTCTTTTTCGAAACCAGTGTGTTGTAAAAAGAATTTGAACAGCTGCCCTGCACCATCTCTTCACGTAGTAACTGTTCCTGTGGATGAGTCACGTGGGGAAATGTCTTAAGCTAAAAGGTTACTTGGTGGACTATCTTTTCTCTGTTTATCTATATTTACCGGAAGGGACCCGCCGGGGAGGGTCCAAGTGAAGATGTGACGGGGAGAGGGGCCATACAGAGGGAGGCCACTTGAACCCTCCTCTCCTGGCAGCGCGCGCAGGTGGAGTGTCTGCCCGCAGCACCCACTGTGCTGCAGGGAGAGCCGGTCAGGGCCCAGGCTTCACCCCAACAAGAGGCCCTCCCAAAGGGCCCGGTGCCCGACCTGCTGGCCCTGTGGCGGCGTAGGGCGCAGGGCCGCTGTGGCTGCAGAGCCGGGAGATGCAGGAACATCTCCAGGTGAAGGACAGCGTGACCTTTGACCACTGGCAGCCCGGGGGTTGGCTTCTGATGTGGCCAGGCTGCCCTCTGCTCCCCAGGGGCGTCCGGGAGGGGAAGGGAGCTGAGGGGGTGGTGGGTGGCCCCTGTTGTGAAGGCAGGGGCATGTCACCTCAGACCTGCTGAACTGGCTCCTGCCTGGAAATGGAGGGCTTCTGAAGGCTGGCGGGGAAGGGGGGCCTGGTCAGGCCAAGTCTTGGCCACACCAGGGGTCCAGGGTGAGCATTGCCCCTCCTGCCCCCCCCAGGTGTCGGTTCTGCTCCATCTCCACCCGGCAGGAGAACCCCCAAGCTGTCCCTCCTGTCAGGTTGGGTTGGTGGTAGCCACGGCCGACCCCGGGGCCAGGGGGACGTGTTGGAAAGTGTGGCTGGTGTTTCTTGATCTAGGCGGGGGGTGGGGGGGCGTCAGGAGGGCCAGCTCATCAAGGACATCTGGTCCCTGGGTGGGGCTTCTCCACAGGGTCAGGGAGAGCCTTCCTCCCCCTTGCTCTTTGGGGGTGCCTGCCATATCCCAGGGATAGGGTTTAGGCACCTGGAGATGGGGTAGGTACCTGGTGCCACGAGTAGGGACTTGTCCCAGGTCCGGGAAAGGTGCTTACAGGTGTATTCTAGGTGGTTAGGACGGGGGTGGGGGCTGGCGAGGAATCCACGTTCTCAAACTTTTTATTTGGAAGTAATACCAAATTTACAGTAAAACTACAAGAATAAGAATAGTACAGGAGGGTACCTTTACCCACATTTGCTCATGGTTAACATTTTGCCCCATTTCCTTGGTTATTTGTTTGCTGTGTGTACATGGGTGTGTGTGGAGCGTGGGGGCGTGTGGGTGTGCCCCTGTGACTTGTATGTGTGTGCGTGTGTGCACGAGTGTGTTGTGTTTAGGCGTGCTGTGCATGTATGTTGTAGGGTTGCGTGTAAATGTGTAGGTAGTTGCGCGTGGTGTGTGAGGGGGGCTGTGCGTACGTGTGCTGTGTGTGCTGAGGGCGTGTTTTCTGCACCGTGTGATGTCCGTGCATGTATTTGGCTGCAGCACACCAGGCTTGTCTGCGAGCATGTGGCTGTGGGCACTGTGGTCAGCACCTCGGGGTGGCGAGGAGGCTTCTTGGCCTAGCTCCCCTGTGTCTGGAGGAAACCTCAAGGCCGTGCTGGGCTGGCCTCTCCTACCACAACTCCTCGCAGACCTGGGGAGGCCACAGGGTCAAGTCCGCCCCTCCAGCTCCTTCCTGTGGGGTCCCCTGGAGATGGAGGATGTTGAGGACAGCTGGTGATTGCTGTCCCAGGGCCACTGTACCGGGAGCCCCAGCACCAGGTGCTTTGCAGCCGGGAGGCCCTGGAGAGTAGCCCATGGAAGCAGAAGTGGGTTTAGTCCCAGGGCTGGTGCAGAGAGAGGGGGTGCCCACTGGCAGACGTAGGGGCCAGGGGCCAAGGCTGGGCCAGCAGGCGCTCAGCAGGGCCCGTCCCACTGTGGAAATAAACCGGTGTCTCCTTGCTCACGTGAGACGAGCCACCGGCTCCGACGGAGGCGTGTCATCTGAGTGTGTTCTGAGCGATGACTGCCCTCTGCACCCCCACCGTGGGTGTCAGTGATGCAGTGTGGACCGCATGGCCTCTTCCTACCTGCACCCTGTGTTAAGACAGCTGCTGGCGAAAGTTCTGACGTGGCCCTGGTAGGACCGGGTCTGTGCTTCATGCCTGAGCCCTGGGACAGCCCCACCCGAGAACAGTTACCAGGGAGAGACAGGTGCCTGTGGCTCACCCCCTTTTGGTTGGTGAAATGCTACCCTTTGCCCTGGTCCCCCAAGCCCCAGGCTGATATTGGGGTTCCTGCCCAGGTGCACTCCTGGTGCAGGCACCTGAATCCTTTCACTGCAGGAGTACGTGTCCCTTAATGCAGGTCCCCGAGAGCCTCACTGTCCCCAAGCCCCAAAGTCACTAGAAGTTGGAGCTCAGCCAGCCTCTGGGGCTCTGGCTGCCTTCCTAGGGGCAGGGCTTGGTGACACAGACCCTGCCACTGAGGGCCCCCCAGGGGTCGTAGAGCACACGCAGCGGGAGAGCCAACGGCGGCTTGCTGCTGCGGGAGCTGGGAGAGGAGAGGGAGGCTGGTGCGGACGGGCTGGGTGGGGAAGCCTTCACGGAGGTGAGGACGCCGGGGGGCTGGGTGTGGGCAGCGGGCCAGTTGGCTGTAGTCTCCCAGCAGGCACAGGTGGGGGTGTTGTGGAGCAGGGGCAGCCAGAGGGAGGCCCTAGGCACTAGGACAGAGGGCAGGGTGGGTGGGCCCGTACTGGGGACTGGACTGGGAGGGGCGTTTGTGTGCAGGTGGTGGGAGAGTGGCAGGCAGCAGTGTCTGCTTCGCATGCAGATCAGGAGTGGGTCGTGGTCTGAGAGGGACTTGGTCAGGGCAGCACAGGAGGAGGCCAGAGGCCAGGGGCTGTGTCTGAGCCTCCCTCTGGGAGCTGGTCCTTCCCCCAGGCACAGCCCTGCCCCAATCAGGCCCCGCTTCTGTCCCCAGCTCTGAGAGCCAGGAGCGGGTTCCCAGCCTCCTGGGGGTCTAACTGCTGCTCAGGGTCCCGGCTGCACAGGAGGTGGGGGCACCGGGGGCGGAGTAAATGTGGATGCTGCCAGAGCACACAGCCCGCTCGCCTTCCTGGGGCGTCCCCTGCCAGGGCCTTACTCCCGGGCACTGTAGGGGCAGCGAAGCTTAGAGCTGGACTGACCCACCCCGCACCCGGCAGCCAGGGCCCAGGTGAGGGTGGCACGGAGCTGGCTTGCTCTTGCCTCTGTCCAATTTTTCAGTCTGCTGGCTATGGAGGGGCATGGCCTGGTGGATGCCAGAACGGGATTGGGTGAGGCTGGGTGGAGGCCCCACGAGACCTGGAGGGCAGAGCCTGGCTGGACAGGAAGGCAGACAGACCTGCAGCCCTGGATGGTGGGGCAGGTCTGTGTCT